TGGTTATTTTTGTTAAGGGAGTAATGGGAAAACGCCTCATCGTAAGGGTCAAATGGGTTAAATATCCTGTTAAGCTACAAGGTAATGCATTTAAACCATTGCAATAATAAGGTTCAGACATACCAAAGGGCCTAAGTATCTCCTAGTTCAGTCCTAATAGACCCCAGTCCTAATGGTTATCAGTTCTAATGGGCCTTATCTTAATGTCCCTCAGTCCATTATGAGCCCTAATGGGTGTTGAAATCCCAATCGTCCCCAAAATTCGCTATTTAGTTTATGTTACTTTATGACCTGTTCAAAACTGGATCCCATTTGACCTTTAACGCAGCAGCGTGTCATTTACTCGTACCCTTGTTAATTAGCTGTAATTTAGGTAGTTCATAGACTTGTAGTTCTTCTCTTATGTCTAGTTAAAGGAGAAGGAAACATGAGGTAGTAAGCAGTGTGTTAATCGCTTTATTTACAATACAGGTAGACCAGGTTATGTGCGACGGTGCCAATGTGCTTTTAATTAGAGCCAAACTAATACCCAGGAGCCAAACCCAAACTTTCCATACTAAAGACTGTGGCTTTGTTAGGTTAGGTTAGGTTGGGTTAGGTTAGGTTAGGTTAGGTTAGGTTAGGTTAGGTTAGGTTAGGTTAGGTTAGGTTAGGGTCGGGTATGGATATGTTAGATTAAGGTAAGGTATTGTAGGGATAAGTTAGGTTAAGGTTGGATAAGATAGGTCAGGTAGGTTATGTTCGGTTAACGTTGGGCTCAGCTAGGTTAAGTTACGTTAAAGGAGGTTAAACTAGGCTAGTTAAGGGTAGGGTAGGTTGGGTTGTGTTAGATTACGTTAGGTTGGGGTTGCTTAGAGTAAGGTAGGGTAGGTTAGGGTAAGTTAGGGTAGGTTAGGGTAGGTTAGGGTAAGTTAAGGTAGCTTAAGGGTAGGATTGGGTAGGTTTGGGTAGGATAGGGTAGGGTGGGTTAAGGGTACGATAGGCTAGGTTAGGGTAGGTTATGATGGGCTAAGGGATGGGATGGCTAGGGTTGGGTAGATTAGGGTAGGTTATGGTGGGCTAAGGCTAGGCTAGGCTAGGTTAGGGTTGGGTGTGGGTCCTGAAATTAGTGACCCCTGCTTTAATGTTTGGCAAATTAAAACAAAACTGACCATATGTCTAGCCAGTCGTCTCATGAAGACAATATATCCTGTGTTTACTTTTTGGTATGTTGCTGTTGTGTCTTTTTGGGGTTTTAGTACCAAAAAAAAAAAGAGGAAGAAAAGGAAAAAAAATACAATTGGGACAACTACTCGTGTGATAATTTTGGCCATTTAATACATCATAGTTATACAGTAGCCAAAAGCAATGGCATTTGGACTTGGTCAATACACTACCAGCTTATACACAAAACGCCAATAGCAAAATGCACCGCTTGAGAAAATGTCAAGCTGTACAGTACACAAATAAATATCTGGCCTAGTGTTAAGGTCTCACCAAAACGTTCAATGATGCCTTTGAAGCTAATAATAACCCTATCATTGTGAAGACCATTTACTTAACACAGAATGCTCAAAATGTTTATACATCTAAAAAAAAAAACTGTTTGCTTTTTACATTACTTTGTGATTGATATATACACGAAGGACAAAATGTAGATGATTAAATAACTGTGTAATTCTTATAAATTCATTTGCTCTGCCTCTAATAAAATTACATCAAGTTTGATAATGAAGAACAAGACAAAAGACAGTAAGTGAAATTATATATATATATATCCTTACAATATCCATAGACACATTATTGATCTATATAAACCCCTTTAATCTGTAATCAATAAATAGGTCTACTATATATTTACACTATAATATAATCATGTGAACTGAAAAGAGTTGGTATATGTAATTATGTATATATGTATATATATAAAAAATACCCATGATTCTGTTAGATACATATGTACTCCTCAAAGAAAGTCACACATCTACTACTTAGAATCCACATATTATAAGTCTACATTGTTGTTGTTTTTGTTATTGTTGTTTTTCACAGATCATTTGTAAAATCTACATTAAGAATGACACCTTTGGGGCACACTACCTTACAGAGTGAAAACTGTCAAATATAAGGAATGTTAGAGAGAGAGAGAGAGAGAGAGAGAGAGAGAGACAAAAAAGGCGAAAATAAAAAAGAAGAATGTAGGAAATCATATCATCAAAGTTACTACATAACCAATTAGTAACTTTAACACTTGTAAATAGCACACACTAACTGCCCCGAAAATAAGAGAAACACCCCTTCCTATCCCCCCCCCTGCCCCCTCCTGCCCCTCCCTCCCTCCCTCCCTACCCCCCCCCCTCGAGTAAGTACATAATAAGCCTGTATGAAGCAGACGGATGGGTTGACGCGAGAACGACAAGTAGAAAAATAAAAGGATCATTCCGTATCTTTCTACTGGCCAAGAAAAAAAAATTACGTCTAGTTGTTTATTTATTATTATTATTATTATTATTATTATTATTATCAGTCAAAATATTTTCACGTGTATCAGTAACAGCATCGAGTATGATGAGTTGGTTTAGTAATATAATACTAATCTTTAAATGGAATACAAATTGATTCTAAATGTGAGAATGTCTTTAAATGTCATAATAATTGACCTTGAAATGTCATCAATTGGTCAGTCGTGATTATAACTTCTGTTTAACTTAACTAACCCATGTTTGATTGATAGATTGATTACGTTTAAGGTCAAGCTTTATAGCATTTACGGTCATCAATGGAGTCATAGCCAATTTGAGTTACATTTAAGGATAGCGTTACATTTTACGTGAATTATTACATTTCAGTGTGTTAAAAGTGTCTTGACAAACTCCTGCTGGTGTGACACATACAGGGACTTGATCCATCTGCTGGCGGAGGTCCTCAACCGCGTCAGTAGTGTGCTGGGTATCTTGAACGCCAATGAAATCAAGAAAACTGGTGTACTTTCCGTTGGCGAAGTCTCCAGTAAGCGTGGAGTCCACTGCGGTGTGGAGGAAAAGAGGAGATGGATCGCCAAGTCCTGTGGTGTTGATTGCTCGTACTGGCGATATTTATCTTACGATGCGAATCTTCTAAACACAGCAGGTACTCAAAGGGTCTTGTGAGTTGTGGTCAATGACGGTAGCTGTGGAACAGTCATGATGTGCGAAAATATAGTGAGCAAAAGTTCTATCTATTTCCTCCTGAGTCCTCCTCTAAAAAAAGTTCCTTTGATTTTTACACGTAAACACTTTGTCATGCTTACGTTTCCTCTTGCTGGAAACAATAGCCAGGATGTACCCAGCAGCGATAAAAGCTTGTCTTTTGAGCTTTTGTTTTGGTAAGCTGGAAGCAACAACAGCCACTGTGCATACAATATAATGCCCCTCTCTTGTTATCAAAGCTTTTATTTACTCAGCAAGCTGTAAAACAATAGCCATACAGCACCCACGTAAGCAAACCCAGCTGTCATCTCCCGGTGAGGTCCTTCTTGGTCAACGCCAGTGAGTAAGGAATAAGAGGCGTGGTAGAGCCGAGGAACTCTTCGCTAAGGGAGTCAGAAGCAACCTGTGTCCTCTTCCTCAGTTGTGGATCGTTTCTAGGAGCAACATTATGGACGATGGTTTAAGAGACAGACCCAACTGGTGTCACCAAAGAGTTAAGAGACAGAGAGCAAGAGACGTGTGTTATGGGAAGGTTTCCAGATCTTTTTACCCAGAGAAGAAAAACTAGAGCTGTGAGTTGTGGTCAAAGAGGAGGTCATTAATCACAGTGTCTTTTCTTAAATGACATCAAGATGACATAGAAATGGATGTGGATTAAATTGATAGATAAATAGATAGATAAGGCAGACAGAGAGAGAGAGAGAATAACTGACGTGGATAATTGGAAAGAGTGATGTCCTCCTGACGTGATTTGTATTGAATGTCTCAGCCTGATCTCTGAGAGTGAAGCCTGCGGAGGAAGACTCTCAGACAGCCCTCCCTCCTTTCCTCCCTTACCCTCCCTCGTTTACTCTCTCCTTTCCCTACTTCCCCCTTTTGTTCCTTCTCCCCTTCTCCTACCTCCTTCTCTGGCTCCTTCTCTCCTTCCCCCTCCCTCCCTCTCTCCTTCCTTGTCGCCTTCCCTCGTTCTTTCTCTCTTCCCCTACCTCTTCCTCTCTCGTTATTTCTCTCTTCCCCCTACCTCTCTCTCTCCTTTCCTCCCAATCCCCCTCGCATTCCTTCTCCCCTTTCCCTAGCTCCCTCTCTCGTTCCTTCCCTCCTTCTCATACGTCCTTCTCTCGTTCCTTCTCTCCTTCCCCTACCTCCGTCCTTCCCTTCCTCTCTCACTCTCCGCCTGACTACCGTGACTCACCACCCATAACACCTCACTCGGCCTGCGGGAAACACTTAGCCTGCGGTTCGCGTTTATCCAATTTCCTCCAATGACCATACTAGCCGCATGCGGTATTACCCGGGTTTAATGTTATTGTTGCTAGCTAGTCTCGTTAACCTAACTTGGCGTAATTTAGTGACGCACGGCGCAGTAAAGAAGAGTTATTACCCCATGAATGTTGCAGGGAGCAGGTGTAACTTGTCGTAAAAGAAGGTGAGGTGAGGTATGGTTTAGTTTTTTTGTGTGTGTGTGAGATGTCGTCATTTAGATGTTGTAGATGAGAGAGAGAGAGAGAGAGAGAGAGAGAGAGAGAGAGAGAGAGAGAGAGGTTTTTGTGGCCGTTGCAAATGAATATAATTGCAGGGAATTAAATTTTTTCTGTTGTACACTACCCAGTGATACCAAGATTATTATTATTATTATTATAATTATTATTATTATTATTATTATTATTGTTATTGTTATTGTTATTGTTATTATTGTTGTTATTATTATTGTTATTGTTGTTATTATTATTATTATTATTATTGTTATTGTTATTGTTATTGTTATTGTTATTATTATTGTTATTATTATTATTGTTATTATTATTATTGTTATTATTATTATTATTATTATTATTATTATTATTATTATTATTATTATTATTATTATTATTATTATTATTTGTTGTTGTTGTAAGTAGTTCAGACGTTATTCATATCTATTGATAAATTTATGATGTGACAATATTTCCGACTGATTTGACTCTAATCACATTGCTGTTGTTCCGGGTGGTGACCTGATGACCTGGTTCCTGATGTGACATGACCTCCTCTTCTGAATAAACTCTCATATGACATGTATCCAATATCACCTCCAACTTGTTCTCTTTGACTTGGTAATATTCTCTTGAGATGACCTCACTTAACATGGCAGTATCTCAGCTTGTCTTGACCTTGCACTATGGGGATACACTTTTTATTATATGCTTGATTCTCTTGAGTCTTTCCTGGTAGCTGGGTTATGAGTGACCTCGATTACTAACTGGTGTACTCTAATGATCTGGTTTCTCTTTTGCATCACGTTGTCATAGCTGAAGTAACTTAGCTTGACCTCTCCTTGTGTTCATTTGATCTTCAGTGTTCTCTCCAAACGCTGATCCGACCTATCACCCCTTACACTCTTGGTCTTGGGAAGCAGCCTGATGATTTAACCTCTCTTTAACATATTATAAGTTGACCTTGATCTTGACCTAGTTTTGTATTTGACCTCGGTGTATAAGGGTGCTTCAGTGGAATTGGTCATTCATGATGTGCCAGAAAGAACTTGACCTCATATGACTCTTGATATTTTGACCTATCCTTGATCGGGCTCCACGTGATCTCTGTGTATCTGGACTACTTTCGTGGTGTGCCAGTGTTTAAAGTGGCAGCATCGAAAAGGATATTTGCTCTGCCTTAAAATGGTGTACTTAAGATAATCGTTGATAACTCAGCCACTACTCAGCTTAGTATAGTGTTAACTAGACTGACCTACAGTACATTGACCTTTAGAACTGTTTGAGTTGTATGATAATAGACTGAGATAACACGGGATGACTCTACATGGTGTAAACATTGACCTATGGTAGCTTATGATGACCTACAATGACCCCGTATGACTTAGATTGACTCCTATGGTTAATTGAGATGCCAGAATGATCCCCAGGATGGCCTCGATTTATCCGTTTGTAGCTTTAAAATAACCCAGAATGACCCCGAGGAAAACTCAGGGTAACTCGTGGGAACTGAGATTTTACTTAACAATGAACTTGAATGACACATCTAATAACGTATGGCATTGTCTAAAATTACCCAGAAGGACAGAAGAGTCGTCCAGAATGACATCAAATTACACTCCCCCCCCCCTCCCGCATCCCCCCCCCCAAAAAGGCCTTAGCTTAGACTGTCCTACAATGACCTTAGCTAACCAGAGAGGATTCCAAGTGACCCCACAAATAACCCCAGGAGTAATTAGTTTGGCCAAGGATAACCCCAAATGACCTTGATTCTTGGGAACCTTGGCTAACCAGAGGGACATGTACAGTACTCTATCTCTCATAATCAGTCAACACGAAAAACAGTTTGACCTCCTTGTCACAGGTCACGGGTACATCGCATTTATATCGCTATGTAAGGAGGACTGTTGTTGCTTCAGGGCGACCCTTTCTTTTCTGCTAGATGAGGTCAGGTCAGATGGGGAAGGGGGGAGGGAGGGGGGGAGGTCATCTATGGCAGGAACAGGTTCAAGGTGAGAAGGATGGCTCCAAGTATGACCGCGGAGGGACCAGACGTCAAGTTGTCACCCGCGCCTGAAACAGAAAGATGCATTGTGGTAAAATGTGAGAGAGGGAAGAGAGAGAGAGAGAGAGTATTAATTATTTCTCTCTGGACAATTTTTCGAGCAATGAATCAGTTAATTCTTTCATGTGTCTGCCTCACTCTCACTCTCCGTCAACCTACCCTGACCTAAGATTAAATTCCCCAACCTTTAACCTCCACTACTTCTAATCTAACCTTACCCCTTACACGAACTAACTTCATGAAGCCCAACCCGCAGATTCTATATGAAACTCCGATTTCGGGTCGGAGTACGGGACAAGGGTACGAGGGCCAAGTCGGGGTCAGGGTTCGGTTACGGGGTTAGGATACGAGAGTCGGGTAGAGGTTCGGGTGCGAGGTTCGGGGTCGAGGCTCGGGTAATAGTGCCATGAAAAATATTATAATTTTAATTCATCTCACGTACATTCATATTATTTTATTTATATTATGCTTACTATCACCATCACCATCATCATCATCGTCACCGTCACCATCATCGCCATCATCATCATCGTCGTCACCATCATCACCATCATCAAAGGGAATTAACTCACACCTCATCATCGAAAGTGCATTCTACATTCTTCATCTCAGACGAACAAACGTATACCTGTTCATTTATATTTTCTTTAATCTCAACACATCACACGTTTAGATCCAATACTCTCTCTCTCTCTCTCTCTCTCTCTCTCTCTCTCTCTCTCTCTCTCTCTCTCTCTCTCTCTCTCTCTCTCTCTCTCTCTCTCTCTCTCTCTCTCTCTCTCTTCTCTCTCTTTCTCTCTTCTCTGTTTTTCCTTCTTCGGTCTAACACTAACGTCAATTTTTTTTTATAGGATAGACAAAATGTTAGTCTAAGGTATTGACAATTTTTATGTGGGAGAAAAAATGTATTGAAATTTCTACAGGTTTTCTAATAATCTCTCACAAACCCGTAGTTAAGTTTATTCAGGTATGTTGTTGACGAGGATTAAAATATCTATTTATGAGTCTAAACGCGAATGTACATAAATTACTCAGAGCTATCTAATCCAATATGACATCTTGATCTGCCAAAGGGTTATCCATAAGTTTGGATATGAGGTCACTTCTCCAGGTACACACACACACACACACACACACACACACACACACACACAAGCGGCCGAGTTAGGGCGGGTTTGTAAGCAGCTTAGTGTCCAGAATAAAGAGGATACCGCCTAGCTGATGTGGCCATCCTTTTCATCCCACTCACTGGGTCCCTCTCACCCCACTAACTGGGTCACTCACCTCACTCACTGGGTCACTCACCCCACTCATTGGGTCCCTGTCATCTCACTCACTGGGTCCCTGTCACTCCACTCACTATGTCCATCTCCCCCACTCACTGGGTCGCTCTCACTTCACTCACTGGGTCCCTCTCACCCCACTCGCTGGATCTCTCTCACCACACTCAATAGATCCCTCTCACCCCACTCACAAGGTCCTTTTCACCCCACTCACAGGGTCCTTCTCACCCCTCACTGTGTTCCTTTCACTACACATAAAATAACCTGTTTCCTCGTCTTCCTATACTTAATTATTTTCTTCGTCTTCTAAGTCGTGTTATTATTATTATTATTATTATTATTATTATTATTATTATTATTATTATTATTATTATTATTATTATTATTATTATTATTATTATTATTATTATTAGAAGGAGTAGCATGAAATTAATGTTACAAAGTTTATAGAAAGAGACACGAAGAAGCATCAATGAACGCGTTAAAGTTAGATAGCATACTAACATACAGTATGCAGAAGAAAAATAAAAACTGAAGCGTATATTCACCGATATACCAACAACAAAATTAAAACACTATTCTCAGGTATGCTCCACCACCTATCATATAAAACTGGCACCTGAAAATACATTTGAAAAATATTATGAAATTTTCTAACGCTATTGAGGTTTATCTCTGATGGTACGTATCATGACTGTGTTTATTTATTTACTTATATATAGACTTCTGCTTGCTGTAAATCGCTGTTCCTGACTGTTGCTCTATTGATTGCGGACACTTCACCCAAAACTGATTGTGCCTTCACCTTCACGAGTCTGTCAGAGTTCCCTGGAGTCCTCTGCAATGACCCGAGAGTTCTAGATGACGGGGAAGTGTTTCAGTTAGGTCACGACAAAGTGTTTGGGGAGTGTGTTAGGTGATGGGAGAATGTGTTAGGTGATGGGGGGGGTGTGTTAGGTGATGGGGGAGTGTGTTAGGTGATGGGAGAGTGTGTTAGGTGATGGGAGAGTGTGTTAGGTGATGGGGAGGTGTGTTGGGTGATGGAGGTGTGTTGGAGTGATGGGAGGTGTGTTGGGTGATGGGGGTGTGTTGGGTGATGGGAGAGTGTGTTGGGTGATGGGAGGTGTGTTGGGTGATGGGAAGTGTGTGTTAGGTGATGGGAGGTGTGTTAGAGTGATGGGAAGTTGTTAGGTGATAGAGATGTGTTAGGTGATGGGAAGTGTGTTAGGTGATGAAGTGTGTTAGGTGATGGGAGAGTGTGTTGGGGTTATAGGAGAGTGTTAGGTGATGATGGGAGGAAGTGTGTGTTAGGTGAGTTAGGTTATAGGAGAGTGTGTTAGGTGATGGGGGAGTGTGTTAGGTTATAGGAGAGTGTGTTAGGTGATGGGAGAGTGTGTTAGGTTATAGGAGAGTGTGTTAGGTTATAGGAGAGTGTGTTAGGTGATGGGAGAGTGTGTTAGGTGATCGCGAACGTGTTGAAATGTATTTAAGTGGGTTAGGTTAGGTTAGGTTAGCGGGGATACTGTGTCCTTCCCCGACTGTGTACAAGAAGATAGATGGATCAGATTGCCACGTCTCGCTTACCCTAATCTGTCACCCGGTCCCTTACCACTACCCCTGCCCTCCTAATTTCTCCCCACCTCCCTCTCTCATCTCCCATTCCCCTCACCTCTCTCTCATCCCCCTATCCTTTCCCTTCTCCCTTCTCCTCCCTCTCTCACTTCCCATTCGTCTTCTCTCACCCCTTTCTCTCACCTTATTTTCATTTTCCTCCTCCCTTCCTTCTACCTTTATCTTCTCCCTCCCTCCACCATACCCTCCATTCCATTATATCCTGCCAATTTCCCCTCTCCTATCACTTCCCCTCCCTCTACCTTACTAACCTACCCCTTCTCCCTACCTCCAAAGCCCCTCTCCCCCTCTCTCCTCCCCTTTTCCTACCTCCCCTTCTTTCTCCCCTCCCTTATCCCTCTTCTTATATCCTTCTTCCCCCTCCCCTCCTTCCCCCTCTCTTCCTATACCCCCTCCCTCTCTCTCTCTCCTCCCTCTTCCCTCCTCTCTCCCTCCCTCCTTTTCCCTCCCTCTCTCCCTCCCCCCTTGGTAGCATAATCTCCCTAACAGCGGCTCATCAGTAAGGTGGGATCACACTGTAATACCCCGTAATTGTTGTCATGTAGATAATTGGACAGGTAATTAATAGATAACTTAACACCGCCGCTTTTTTGGGGGGACTTACATAATGTTGAATTCTTTTTGGTCAACTAAAACAGTGACTTTGATATAATGAGGCTGGGATAATCTTCAGGGGTGGATAAAGTTAGATTAGGATAATGGTTAGGATAATGGTAGGTAAAGTATAATGGTTAGGATAATGGTAGGTAAAGTATAATGGTTAGGATAATGGTAGGTAAAGTATAATGGTTAGGATAATGGTAGGTAAAGTATAATGGTTAGGATAATGGTAGGTAAAGTATAATGGTTAGGATAATGGTAGGTAAAGTATAATGGTTAGGATAATGGTAGGTAAAGTATAATGGTTAGGATAATGGTAGGTAAAGTATAATGGTTAGGATAATGGTAGGTAAAGTATAATGGTTAGGATAATGGTAGGTAAAGTATAATGGTTAGGATAATGGTAGGTAAAGTATAATGGTTAGGATAATGGTAGGTAAAGTATAATGGTTAGGATAATGGTAGGTAAAGCATAATGGTTAGGATAATGGTAGGTAAAGTATAATGGTTAGGATAATGGTAGGTAAGGTATAATGGTTAGGATAATGGTAGGTTTAAGGTAGATTATGTATAATGGTAGGTAAAGTATAATGGTTAGGATAATGGTAGGTTTAAGGTAGATTATGTATAATGGTAGGTTAGGTTAGGTTAGGTTAGGTTATATTATATTATGTTCGTATAGGTTAGTATAGGTTAGGGTAGGTTAGGTTAGGTTAGGTTAGGTTAGGTTAGGTTAGGTTAGGTTAGGTTAGGTTAGGTTAGGTTATATCATATTATGTTCGTATAGGTTAGTATAGGTTAGGGTTAGGTTAGGTTATATTAATTTACACATTAGCGTTATAAGACCAGCAATTCTCTCCGTGTTACGCCTTATGATGAAACTGCTTCCCGGGCATTGTATTTCTTTCTCGTTTACTCATTACTTGAAGCTGCTGACGGTAAACGCGTTGATTGGCAAATTGAGACGACAAATTGAGGATGAAACAGGATTAATTAGTGAGCTGGATTAACATGGGCCTGGAATATTATCATTAGCGAGGGCAAGAAGAAGGATAAGAGAGAGAGAGAGAGACAGACAGACAGACAGACAGACAGACAGACACATCCCTTCCTGAACTAATCTGGGCCGTGGATGAAAAAATAATGTTGAGAATATCTTGAATTACTGCAGAAAATTATAATGACTTCTTACGGCGTATTCCAAGCACACTCCTCCACTTATTTCACGCGTGATAATGAGGCAATTACCTGGATAGTGAGGTCATGGGGTCCTGGCTGCTGCATCTGGCGACCTGAGGTGCACGTATAATCTCATTACCTGGTGAGAGATAATTAGAAAAACAAGCTACCTCAGTCAGCCACTCAGAGCTGTACAACACTTCCAAGCAAAACATTTGGGCAAGAAACACCTGACTAATATTTCCCGTCCTGTAACTTCGCTGCACCCAGACGTATGATGAACACACATGACACATTTAATATTTCTTTTATATTTTGACTTCATCATTAACCCTTTCGTCTGCCTGTGTTAACTACTGCCTGTGTCACATTTCTTTATTATTCGTCTATGTTTAGTGTTATGCTCTGTTTTTTATCGCTTCTCTTCGTATATCTTCATCTATCTTTCCATCTGTTAATTTATACGCCTCTGTATATAAGTTTATTATAATTTATGTCTTCATTTATATCTGTTGCCTTATCTCATATGCACAGTATTTACAGTATAGGAATAGATGATACAATAAGTCATATACTTGGTAACTGTATCGATTCTGTAGTAGTAAGAAAAAGAGGCTCACTTTGCTCCACGAGTCACAAATGGTCGTGTTCCTGATCGCTTCTTTCCGAGTTCCTTTTTGATCGTGTAGTTATGATCAGCCGCGTCAAAAAAAAACGACATACACAAGGCAGGGAATCTTTACAGCCTGTTTATTGAGGCGGAATCGTACTGGGGCAAATTGTAGTGTTTTAGACTGCCGATATAATAACACATTATTTTCTGGGTCGGGGAGAGAGAGAGAGAGAGAGAGAGGTGAGTGACGCTGCAGTAACTGAGGAAGAAGACAAAAGACGATCACAATGCAGTTTACGTACGACAATAATATCATATTTCTATCCCTCAACCTCTCTCTTCATCTTTGCAACATAAGAAGACTATTGCAAAAAAAAAACACAAAACAGTATCTAGACGAGAGATAAGAATGATTCCAACATATTCAAGAGAGGATTTTAACAGGATTAACTGAGTGATTTCAACTCAAGCAAGGAAGCATTTCACAACAGGAAAGTTGGAATTTAACATAATCAAGATAGGATTTAAACAGATGAAATAATGAACTCAAGCAAAAATTAAAATGTGTATCACTCGAATAAAAACCAAAAAATGAGCATAAAATAAGAAATATACACAAATATGACTAAGGTTATTTATAGAATGCATGTAGATAAAATAATTCCAACTTAACATTAAGACATTGGCCAGTACAGCGAGTAACACGAACACACAGAATAACTAAATGAGAATACCTGTCACCTTGACAACACTGACAAGACCAACACAACCTTGCCGTAATTAAAACGAACGTAGAGCACACTAGCCCTTCTTCTCCTCCTCCTCCCCTTCCCCGCCTTCCCCTTCTTTCACGTCCTCTACGTTCTCCTCGCCTTCGTCCTCTCCCCCCTTCCTCTTCTTCCCTTCCTCCCTTTTCTCCTCCTACCCCTCCTTCTCCCTCTCCCCCCTCCCTCCTCGTTCTTTCCCTCCCACGCCTCCTCTCAGTCAGACTTTTGCCTTTTTTTCCTCGGTCGGGTTTTGCCGTGAGAAATGTTTTCATTAACCTACTTTGTTTACACGACACACAACCCAGATGCTATTATGATGGGGTAGCCTCCTTCATCGCCTCCCTCAGGTGCGGATATCTCCATTATTCATGCCACTAATTTGCATAATGTATGCCATAGGAACGATCTGATAAAATTAAACACTATTTTTGGGGGTGTGAGGGAGGTATGTGAGATGAGGTGAAGGAGGGAGGTGAGGTGAGGAAGGGAGGGAAATGAAATCAGGGAGAGAGGGAGGTGAGGAAGGTAGGTGAGGTAAGAGAGGGAGAGAAGGAGGGAGGTGTGAGAAAGAGGTGAGGTAAGGGGGATTATGAAGTGAGGAAAGGAAGGTGAGGTGAAGGAGGGCGGGAGGGAGGGAGGTGAGGGAAGGAGGTAAGGTGAGGGAGTGAGAGGTCGTGAATTTGGTTGAGGAAATTTGTAAGAACTTTATTTAATTTTTAGTTCAGGGTTAATTTTCATCTAAGAAATGGACAAAACTTTGGAACTTTCTCTCGGTTTAAGTTTAGATTTGACTTTATGAGAATTTTTTTAAGACTTTCTCTCCTTTAAACTTTAGGGCTGACTCATTTAAAGTATGGGAAAACTTTCGATCTTTTACCAAATCTAAGCTCAAGATTGACTTTCATTGAAGTTGTAAACAAAACTTTCGAATTTCTCTCTTTTTAAATTCAAGATCAACTTTCTCCTCCAGTCTTAGAAAATCAAATAGAACTTTCACCTCTTGTAAGGTCAGATGTTCTTTCCATGTGAACGTTTGTACAGCGTTTGTGAACAGTACGTCATCTGAACTAAGCTACAGTACCATCTCTATATATCTCCCATCAGTACACGTCTCTCTAACTGTGAACTAATTAACTACTAATCATTTACCTCTATATTTAATCAATCAACCCAGTTCTATAATTACCTATAACTATCTATATCATTAACTATAGAATACAACCATCTCTAACTATCTTTTTTATAACCATCTACATAAAATTCATAACTAGCAAATATTTATTAACAACTATCAACAATAACTATCTCTTTTGCACCATCACCATCATCACCCAACCACCATCACCACCCCCACCTACCACAACCACCCCCAATCACCACCCCACCCTAACCACCATCACCACCACTCACTTAGCGTGTGGTAGAGGTTGGTCGGGGCAAACCAGCGGCTGGATGGTTCCCGTATGATCACTTCAGCTGACTTGAGGTACAGCTCGGCCAGTCGACCAACACAGGCGATATTCATCATTCCTCCCCTGAAATGGTCTTCGTTTACGTGTAGGCTCAGGTGTGTGGTGACCCGTTCAAGGCCCGCTGGGTTGGTTACATGTTCCACCGTCCTCACGCTATTGGGTAACACCTGTAGGGGAAGATACAGGTGTTAGATAGGTAGTAAGGTTAATAATAATAATAATAATAATAATAATAATAATAATAATAATAATAATATTAAAATACCTGTATATACCCTTTTTCAGTTACTTGTTACTTATTGGTTTACTTGCTTACTTAATTACTCTATCTCAAGGGAAAAGGTAATTTTTTCTGGCACCAAACTAGTCACTTTAGCTTTCTTTAACAACTTTCCTTTGCTCTCTTTCTTTCAATTTTCTTTCTATTTCGTTTTATCTCTTCGTTCTAGTCTTATTTCTCTTTTCTTTCTTCTCGTTTTATTTCTTTTTTTTTCCTTCATTCCTGCTATCTACCTGTTTCTATCCCTTCTCCTTTTACCGTTCCCTCTGTCTGTCTCTCTTTTACTTATCAATCTCTTCTTTATCTAAGTTTGACCCTCTTTTTCTCTCTTTTTATCCCCTTCTTTCTCTTTCTCTTTCTATCTTTTGCTTTCTTCTAAGTCTCTTATTTTTATTATATCTCTCTATCTATCATTGTTTCTATTACTCTATCTTCCTCATTGCTTTCTGTTGCTTTCTTTTTCTTCTCTCTCTCTCTCTCTCTCTCTCTCTCTCTCTCTCTCTCTCTCTCTCTCTCTCTCTCTCTCTCACCTTATCATTCCCTCGATTTCTATCATTTGGCTATCAAGATGAACCCTACACGTTTCATAACACCAAGACGATATCAAAACTGTTATCTATCTTTCTATCTGCTTCCCTGTCTCTTTTATTTATCAACCTATATCTCTACTTTTCTCCTTATCTATCTATTCATCTATATTCTGTCTCTCTCTGCGGATGGTGTTCATCACTTCTTTGAGCCTTGGCTTGACGGGAGAAAGCACGACAGGACAGAATGACGGGTCTTAAGCGATCTGACAGAAAGACGATATCTAACTGGTCCTCTCTATCCCTGGGCTTAAATCCGGGTCCAGTGAGTGAGTGTGTGTTTTTTTCTTCTGTTTTTGAGAGAGACTCGAGAATACTACTGCGCTGTTGAATCGTCCAGAGAGACAATGGTAGAGACAACGTGACGAAGAATTTCAGCCGACGACCTTTAACTGCGTCTATTAAATCAGGATTGAGTTCCGAAGCGACAGTGACAGACACCTGTGAGAGACCGCACGTTCCCTCCAGTAATTGACCCGGATATAATAATTACCAGGTGGACGTTTGTTCCGGCTTGCAGACAGGAGAGTAACAGGTGTTTCAGTGGTCCTTTTCTCTCCAGTCACTGTCGCTGTCTGGACACTTGTAAGGGGTCAGAGGTTAGTGATAATGTTAGGTCATTTAGGATTTCTTTTAAAAGGTCGAAGGTCACTGTCGACGTAGGATTTCATAAAGAATGACTTTCAGGAGATGTGAATTAGGTTTTGAGAAGAGAGCGTCTCTGGCACATATTTCTTTTAGAAGTTAATATTTAATGAATAAACACAGGAGAATTCTCTTTTAAAGGTCAGAGGCGACTGTTGAGTGAGTGGAGACCCAAGGAGGTCAAGAGCCAGTGTCAAGTAGTAGACACTCAAGAAATAACCCTTTTAAGGTTAAAGGTTAGGAACAAACCTTTTGAAGATGTTGGTTTTAATCCCTTGATGATTATGGTTTAATTTATCGTCCTCAGAGAGTCATAGCTTAAACCATCGCACTTATTGTGACTCACTGTATCTCACTAAAGACTCACTGTGACTCACTGTATCTCATTAAAGACTCATTGTGACTCACCTCCTCGCCGTTGATGGTCCAGGAGAGGGCCACTGAGGGGCGAGCCAGCGGGGAGGCAGGTTGAGGGCCACGTGCCTGTTGTGCTGGTAGTACTCCCGGCTGCCTGAGATCACTGGAGGTCCCTTTGGCACCACTGTACCCACACGCCAAGTCCACACGCCCATATGGATGAGCAAAAACCACGTAGGGGGTCCAGAATCCAAACCCACACGACCATGTAGGGAGTCCAGAGGCAGCACCCCAGTACAGATAGGGAAACAAGTCAGGTGGGCGCGGGCGAGGATGGGGCGTGGGTGAGGATGGGGCGTGGGTGAGGGTGTGAGGCGTAGGTGAAACGTGGCGAGTCGTGGGTGAGGCGCAGTGAGACGTAGGTGAAGGCGTGGGTAAGGCGTGGGTGAAACGTGGTGAGGCGTGGGTAAGACGTGGTGAGGCGTGGTAAGGCGTGGGTGATGCGCAGTGAGGCGTGGGTGGGAAGACGTCCATACCACGCCAGGTAAATCCAGACAACAACATGAAATAAAAAGAGAAACATATAATTTAGTTGAGTGTTTTTGAAATTAAATTTTTTTATATACAGGTACACAAAAAAAGGCTTAATTAATTTATTTCTATTACATTTTTACATTATTTTTTCTTTAGATTTCATTTGGGTGTATTTTCTTTCTCTATTTTTATTTCTTCTTCATTCGCTGTTCGTTTAATTTTATTATTTTAGTATTTTGTCACATTTACTTTTATTCTTCTTTTATTGTCTTCTCCGTTTTCTTTTGCTTCATCTTTATTTTCTTCCTTATTTTCCCTCTCCCCAGTTTTATTATGTTGCGTGTGTAGTGTAATCAACAAACACGGAACCTTCGCAATATATTGTTGTGTTTGGTTTTGCAGTGAATATGCAATTGAATTCGTAATGCACTTCATTGGTAAAGGAAGTCTGGAGGAGGAGGGAATGAGGGAAAGGAGGGAGTTAGGGAATGGAGGGAGTGAAGGGAGTGAGGGAATGAGGGAAAGGAGGGAGTTAGGGAATGGAGGGAGTTAGGGGAAGGAGGGAGTGAAGGGAGAAAAGGGATGATGGAAAAGAGGGAATGAAGGAAAGGAGGTAATAAGGAAAGGATAGGGTGTGGGAACGTAGTGGGAGGGAGAGTGAGTGAAAGAAGGTAGAAGGGGGGAGAAGGGAATAAGAGTAGGGCTGTGTGTAGAGGGCATGGTTGCAGGAAGGAGGGGATAGAGGAAGAAAGATAAGGAAAGGACGAGAGGTGTGAGGAAGAAGGATGAGAAGAGGAAAGGAAAAGAAAAAAAAGATTAAATAAAGATGGGAGAGAAGGAGTTTGGGGATAAAGTTGGGAGGCAGTAAGAAGGTGAAAAAAAATTGATGTAATGACAGGTATGATATGTCATTATAGTACAGGTATAAATATGTAACTTCACTTCACTTCAGAGGTAAGAGAGACACCTCACCTCTGAAATATAGGTTTAATAAACTCAATGTCAGTATGTAGGCTCTAATAACATGTAGAGACGAGAGTAAAGAGAGGAAGCACCTCAAAGACCTTACTGCTTGATTGATAATTCATGTCACGTCTTGGAAGGAAAAGACATGTGTTGCTCGTCATAAAGTATGTGTGGGTGTGTGTGTGTGTGTGTGTGTGTGTGTGGTGTGTGTGTGTGTGTGTGTGTGTGTGTGTGGGTGTGTGTGTGTGGAGGGTATTTATTGTATCTCTGTCATTATCAATATCTTTCTCCCTGTCTCTACACACACACACACACACACACAACAACCCCTTATCAAAATGCTTGCTGTCTGAGACACTCTTCACCAGCAAAACTTATTAGATTTATTTTTCAATTTGAAACCGTCATGAGGGAAGGCTATTCTTGTTCACCGTTCTTAATCAAGGACACTGGCCACCTCTCTTCTCTACTCCTTCCCTTCCTCTCCTCTCCCCACTAACTTGAACCGCGGAGTTAATTGGAAATCTGTCACGATTTGAGGAGTGCCCAGCCGGGAGTTGCTGAGGAGGGGGGTGTGGGGATGGTATTGCTTGCCTCCTGCTGATGCGTGGGATGTTTCCTGTCAGTGTGTGTGTGTGTGTGTGTGTGTGTGTGTGTGTGTGTGTGTGTGTGTGTGTGTGTGTTGTGGTGTGTGTGTGTGTGTGTGTGTCTGTGTGTGTGTGTGTGTGTGTGTGTGTGTGTGTGTGGTGTGTGTGTGTGTGTGTGTGTGCTATAGGCCAGTAAATGGTGCACCTTTACCAGACACCAGTGGCGTTAAGCCGTTTATGAACACACACACACACACACACACACACACACACACACACACAAATAGGTGGATCTCTTTTAAACTTCATTATGCAAATTGTCATCACCTTAAGTTGAATTTGCCTGGGAGCTCTCCACTTATTCATTAGTGTCAAAATAATGGATCTGTTTGTGTTTTGGGCTTATTTATGGTCTCTGTATACACACACACACACACACACACACACACACAAACACACACAAACACACACGAGTCAAACTAAAGGAGCAAGAATCGAGAGCCAGATTTAGTCCAGTATTAATAAAGTCAAATATAAGACACCAGATTAATGAAGCCAGATTTAAGACACCAGATTTACGGAGTTGGTTTCAGGCATTCAGGTCACGCTAGTCGGGTTGAGAGAGTCAGTTTGGGTATACATCAGGCACGTCAGATTCATCTGTCCGTGACAAGTACAAAAGTTCCCGGACACGGAGTTATTAGTGGAACTTCCTCAGAGACAGTCCTTCGTCTCTTAAGGTGGAGGTGCGTGGTCTCTCTCTCTCTCTCTCTCCCCCCTTTCACCTCCTTTTCTTCCTCACCCTTCCTATTTCCATCTTTCTGTCTTGCTCTCCCCTCCTACCCCTCTTTATCACACTCTCCCCTCCCCCATCCTTCTCGTTCACTCTCCCTTCCCCCTCATTCTCTTTTACTCTTCCCCTTCTCCCTTATCTCTTCCTCGTCGAATTTATGATCCGTCTATGCAAAATTATTCCTCCTTGTTGCTTTTGATGTCTCAAATATACTCGTAAATATCTCTCTCATCTTCTATTTCTCATATCTCATGCTTTTCATCTTTATCCTCGGTTGTTTCTCATTTTCTCACATTTATCTTTCATTGTACTTGTTCTTTATTTCGTATCTTAATTTTGAGTTAACTACTGATATCAACTTGCCGGTTTGAGTTGTTTACGCTTACTTTCTTCTTTTTCTCTCTACATTATTCTCTCTTTCTCCCATCCTCTTTTTTTCTTATACACTCTGTCTATTCTTTCTCTCGTATTCTTGACCTAGTGTTCTTCTCTTGTTACTCTTTCTATCTTCCCTCCTTTCCTCTCACTCTTTCCCTTTCTCTCATTCGTGCACGTGACTCTAAACAATCGCTGTACTATGTTATCCATATTTGTGAGAGGAGAGAGAGAGGAGAGAGAGAGAGAGAGAGAGAGAGAGGAGGAATTAACATTAAATAACAAACAATTAAAAACACACACACACAACACCAACAAAAACTGAAACAAAAGCAAAAAAAATTGTGATCAAGAATGCAATTGTTTTAAAGGTAATCCGTGTCCCAGTCAGCCATTCCTCCCCCCTCGAGCTTTTATGTCAATTCACCAACAAATTATTCATACGGTTAAAAAAAAATAAAAAAAAATAAATAAATATTCTAGAGAAAAACAAAAATTCATGGATTGCTAAAATACATAAAGAAAAATAAATAATCACGTTTTTGTGTTTATTTCTTTCCTATAATATCTTTTTGCACTGTTCGGGGTGAAGGTCACTTTGCCATAGAAAAAAAAAAAAATAGCTTATTTTTATTTATTTATTATTTTTTTAAGATATTGGTAAGTAGGTATAGTCTGCTGATTAGGAGTGAGTGAGTGAGTGAGTGAATGAGAGAGTGAGTGAGTGAGTGAGTGAGTGAGTGAGTACACCAGAGGATATAAGTACGTCTTTTGAACACATTATTTATATATCTCATTACCACACCCCAACTCACAACCACATCCCTCCAACTCACAACTACACTCCTCCAACTCACAACCACACCCCTGCCAACTCACAACCACACCCCTTCAACTCACAAACACACCCTCCAACTCACAACCACACCCCAACTCACAACCACACCCCTCCAACTCACAACCACACCCGAACTCACAACCACATCCCTCCAACTCACAACCACACCCCTCCAACTCACAACCACATCCCTCCAAATCACAAACACACCCCTCCAACTCACAACCACACCATCCAACTCACAACCACACCCTCCAACTCACAACCACACCCCTCCAACTCACAACCACACCTCCAACCACAACTACACCCTCCAACTCACAAAACACCCTCCAACTCCAACCACACCCCTCCAACTCACAACCACACCCTCCAACTCACAACCACACCCCTGCCAACTCACAACCACACCCCTCCAACTCACAACCACACCTTCCAACTCACAACCACACCCTCCAACTCATAACCACTCTCTCAACTCATAAACACACCCTCCAACTCATAACCACACCCCTCCAACTCACAACCACCCTTCAACTCATAAACACACCCTCCAACTCATAAACACACCTCCAATTCATAACCACTCCTCGAATTTAACATAAGTCTCTCCTTAGCTCACTAGGGTTTGACAAATCAACTACGTGCTCCTTCCCACCCAGACACTACCCACCAGCCACCCACCCACCCATCCCACAACCCCCTACCCCTCCCCCCCACCCACACCACACCCCCCTCCACCCACACCCCTTGGCTGTCACCGAGCGGAATATTCAATTAGGTAGCCATTCAGCTCCTGGGTCTTGTATCAAATCTAATTACAACCTCGACGCTGTAGCCTTTAAGAAGGAGGGGAAAACCTGCCCGGGATGCCACAATATCCTAATTTGGGGGTAAAGGAGTTTGGGAGGTTGAGGATACACATATTGGCGGAGGAGGAGAGAGAGAGAGAGAGAGAGAGGAGAGAGAGGAGGGAGAGAGAGGAGAGAGAGAGAGAGAGAGAGAGAGAGAGAGAGAGAGAGAGCTGTATAAACGGTGCTCAATACGATTATATAACTGAAACACACACACACACACACACACACACAAAC